AAGAAAAGCATTTCAAAAAGACATTTATCACCAGCTGCCTCCACTGGCTTAATACTGAAGATCAGATGGCCAGAAAGAATTGGCGACTAGAAACTCTGGAGATGAACGAATCAAGAACCTATTATACGACAAATACGCAGTGGAAATTGGAGATAGATCGAAAACACGCTGAAGAGATCGTTCGGTAACATCATGCTTCAGGCTGTTGAGTGTTGGGCTTTGGTCCGACAGTGAAGAAAGTATGGAACCTTATGAACAATCACGGAGCCAGCCAAAAATGGTTCACAGAACAAGATGAACTGGCGATGTGATGCTGAAACTCTTCCCTTCGAAGTCCAATGGTGAAGAAGCAAACCAAAGAATAGAGTAAATGTTCGGCAGTAAGGTTATGTGACAAACATCTTCCTTAGGTTATTATGATTGTTCTTGTACCTAATCAGTCACACAGCACATGAATAAATATGTTGTCATTGAAATTCAATTGTTAAATGATTTGTCCTCAATTATAAAACTTTATTTATTTATTAACCTACTTATAAAGTTAATTGGTGGATGGTGACTAGTGGTGGAATCCAGGATGCACATTTCATCCTATTTAGGACTCGTCATCTGGATGTACCTGCATTCCGCAGTGAGTGATGATGTTCCCACCGAGGCTCAAACCAAGTGCCCATAGATTCAAACGCCATCGTCGAAGCATCTGCACAAGAAGCCGACATGTCAACCTAAGACCGAACAGAAAAATCTAAAATTCAACTAAACTACTTATAACGTTTTAAGTAGTCAACAGTTTGTATCATAATAAACTTTGAACTGAGTTAAAACCAGAGAATGTGAAAGCATGGTGAACAAAATATGACGCGAAGCTTGAAAGCTATATTACATCGTAATTGACAACCTTCGATGGTGTAGTGTAGCCTGAACAACTTAAAAAGAAAGTTTACTGACTCAGAATAAGCATTCATTATGCGTTGGTAAGAAGATTGCAGTGTCACTTGTTATTAATGAGCCTTTCAATATTTTCATGAGACGATTTCAGAAGTTTTACAGGAAATACTAGTAAGGCAAGTGATTCAAATCATCCGGAAGGTATTTCAGAGTGAAAATTTATGTGAAAGGCTTCAAAAAGAAACTATTCTTTGTAGTAACATAAATACTAGCGTTCAAAACGAATTTCTCGTCCTCCTGGATTTCATTGACGACATCAACTTGTTACATGCACCTAATTACCGAGGAGGAGAAACAAATTAAATAATGGATTGATCAATTCAAAGGACTCTCGAATGGACAGTCACTTGCATCTCGCCCAGAAACAAACCACCACCAACAGCACGCACAGAACTACCAGTGGACACCGATCCTACAACGAAAGTTTAAATCCTGGATGAGATCAAGCCACTGAAGTTCAACAGGGCCAGATGGAATTCCCCCGGAGAAATGAAAACAGACCCGGAGACTATGGTAGATATGCTCATGCCGCTACTGCAAAATGTTTGGAAGGAAGGAAAGTTGCGTACTGATTAAAAGAAAGCCTGGATTCCATTGTAAAGCTAACATTAAAGGGCGCCCTAGTTAGGCCTGGGGTGGAATAGCGCTCTACTCCACGCCAAGTGAAATACTGAGTCATGTCATCCTGGAGAGAATAAAATATGCACAGGATGCAGAACTCCAGCACTCACCGGAACAAACTGGATTCAGGAAAGGCAAATCATGTGCCGATCAAATTGTAACTCTACGCATCGTCATCACAGAACAAAGCATAGAATGGCAGACAGCGTTGACCGATACGTAATACTTCAACACTATGGAGTGCAGTACCCAAGTCTGTCTTTGTCGACCTCATTCAACAGCTGACTGTAAGGCAATGGCACGTGTCAGGTGATCCACAACGAAAAATTCATCGAAGCGGCTGAAGTAAATACAGGAGTAAGACAAGCCTGTCGCCTTATTATCATCAAAGGTATTCCCAATTACGGTGGACTGGATTATGCATCAGACTATGTACAGAGAGCGAGAAAACAGGAATACGCCAACTCTGGAAGACCTGGATTTCGCAGATGATTTATGTTTAATGATGCACAAACTCGGAGACTTGCAGCCGAAAACCAATAAACTGGCTGAAGAAGCAGCAAAGACAGGACTTCAAGTGAACATAGAGGAGAAACAGGTGATATAGATAACCAACAAACCAAGCGACAGCAAAAGCAACTAGCACTAATCACTATCAACAGGAGAAACTTGAAAGAAGTCACTTCACTTATCTAGGAAGCATGGTTGCAACCACAGGCGGAACAGATGGAGATGTCAAAACCAGTCAGCAATCCAGAATCAGAAAGGCAAGATAAACCTTCATCAACCCTAAACCAGTTCGAAAATCTTCACTAACTCAGCATAAAGTACAAGGTCCGGATTTTTAACACAAATGTGTAGTCAGGCAGTCTATTTTTCTGCACGGGTCAGAAACTTGACCAGAGTGTCAAGAAAAGCATTTCCATCAAGCCTCTTCAGACTTTTATCAATAGCTGCCCCCTTCACTGGCTCCGTACTGAAGATCAAACGGCCAGCCAGAAAGAATTAGCAATAAGAAACTCTGGTTGGCTGGCTGCGAACAAACCAACAGGTGAGAGCCGATTGCTCAATAAATATGTAGGAGAAAATGGAGATGGATCGGTGGGGCATACGTTGAGGAGGCCATCGAATGATATCGCGCTGACTGCAGGCCATCGCTCGAGTGGAGGAAGTCCCAATGAGTATCAATGGGTGGGTCATCGGTGTGCATAGTCTGACATGGAGGAGATCGTGTGACGAGCTAGAGGAGATGAGAGATTATAGTCAATCGTGGACCACCTAAAGACGACCACATAAAATTAAAACAAAGTAGAGACATGTTGTTGAAGCAGTATGTTCCACTCGGAACCCAACGGAATAATAATAATAATACAATTAGTCTTGAAGTATTATTATATATATATATACTACTGACAAGATAACTAGTAGAATTACGTAAAACTATACTCTGCTTATTGATGGGGATGAGTAGTTGTATACTACTCAAATCAACCAGGAATGTTTGCTAGCCAGCCTGCCAGCAAGACCGAAGTGATCCAAACGCCGGACGTCTGAATCGCTTTCTGAGGGTCGAACTCATCATCAATATACCCGATTTGACTAAGCTCAGATAGGCGAATCAGTTCACCTCCCCCCGCCCCCGATTTCGGGCAAGACAGCTATATTGGCCAAACTGGTAACACCAGTTAGCCAAATTCTCCAACTGTGTGAAAAATTAGTGACTGCTAAGCAATTTGTAAATTTCGACTTCAACTCAAGATAATGGATGTTTGAAATTCATTGCACCAAATGAAAACTTTTGTTATTTGGAGTCTAGAAATCACTTAAAACTATATTATCATAGTAGAATATTACTGTTATTAATTTTACACAGAATAACTCCAATGAGTAGAATGTGGCATAACACTGTTGTGTATCAGGATCTAACTCTCATCTGTATACTAACATCCAACTGCATCTTCACGACCTCTAGAAAGGATAACCAACAAGGAACTCTGTCAACGAACTAACCAACAGATATAGCAAAGAAAATCGTCGTGGACAAGACACAAACTAAGGAGACCATTGAGTGGAACCATGTGCCAGGCCCCTCCAGTGAAACCGGAATGTAAATCAACCAGCTCGGCATGTGTTCCAGATTAATATGTAGGAGATCGTATGACAAAAGTGTGAAAACTTATGGGCAATCATCACCTAAAAATGATTGCAGACAACCAAGTACAAGGTTGATGTGTTGAAGAAACTCTAAGTTTCATTAAGAACCTAGGAGAAATAATAATAATAACAGTAACGCTATTTGTTTTCAAGTAAATTATGATTACCCCGTTGATTGACTGGACCGAGGTGTTCAGTCTCCGTTGACATGTCACCTCTTAGTACAGACTCTTCGACGATATCTGAAGATCAACATGTAGCCATTAGGTGGATAGAGACTAGCGATGGAATCTAGAATGCACGCACTTCGTCCTACTTGGGACTCTTCAGCTGGATGTGTACGTATTCCGCAGTGAGTGATGGAGTTCCAGTTGAGGCTCGAACTCAGTGCCTATCGTTTCAAACAAAGCAGAGAGTTATCCACTAGACCACTTAGGCCACGACAGCCACCTTTTTGCAGCAAGCGTCAGTTATTATCCTTCATCAAGTTGTTCGAAACAATGAGTACTGGGTTGTAGTCTCACTAGGAACACAGATGATGAGGCCCAAATAGAACGAAATGCATATCTCGGAAACCACTGCTAGTTACCATCCACCACATGATTTCCTAATAATGCTGTTTTCGTGCATTCCCTCCGAATGATTCTATCAGATCTGCTGGTAAGCCGTTGAAATACACGATTATTACTAATGGGTGCGTAATGCTGAAGAGCACCAAACAAGGACTAAACATCTGCCTAAACCTCCATGCTTGTCTTTTGATTTCATTTCGTGAATAATCTTGGAATGCAAGCTAAAACTCCCTAGCCAAAATCAAAATAGCTCAACTTTATAATTACACTTTTTTATTCATATACTACTGATTTCTTAAATAGTAGTGAAGCCAAAAAAACAAAAAAACACCAGCATGAATAAGATGCCCATTGTTACATCGATATAATATAATCACTGCTGAATGTTTCAATAGATGAATGAATGAAAAGCCACAAACTCTCAGAGAAAGACAAATCATAGTCTCCATTTTTCATTTTTCTTTTTTACATGAATATTACACACAGAATTTTGCATAATCACTTCCTTCACGCCTTTTATTGTGGAAGTGGAGCTTGGAGTGGGGCCATGTGAGCAAGAAAATAGAAAACCAAAGGGAAAATAAGGATAGTTAAAACAAAAAAGAAAAGAATCCATGCGAATGAATGCAATATAGGGCGTAATACACGAGTTCGTCAGTGTGTGTGTGTGTGTGTGACAGAGACAGTTAAAACGAAACAGAACGAAATACAAATAAAGCCAAAATATAATTAGAGAGTACTTTTCATTTTGTCAGTCATCTATCTTCTTCTTCTCAGTTAAAAAAACACACATCCTCTCCGCCTTCTTCACCTCTAACCGAATTGTAGATGATCTTTATGTCTACATTTGTTTCAGGGAATATTATTAAGAACTGAAAACTTGCTGTGATATAACAGACACACACACTCACAAACACACATACAAACAAACTAGAACACTGAACTATACGTATATATATAATGGTAAACTCAAAGGAGAACTCGAAAAGTACTCACTCTTATGAACCAACCAATTGACAAAATTTTACAAACAACAATAACAACAACAACATCAAGCAAATATAAAAACAAACAAACAAATAATCACAACTAAGCAACAACAAAAAAAATTAATTAAAAAATAAGATATTCCTCAAATTGTAAACTGTTAAAATATGAGAGAGTGAATCAATCAGTCACTACCAGTGATTAAGTTGACGATGCTCTCATACACACACACACACACACACGCCCAAGCATACACGCACGCACGCGCAATAATGAATGGTTTGCATTCACTCAAAACACATTGTGAGCAAGGCGAGCATACACAATAATCGGTGCAATCAAATATATATTGGTCACATTTTGGTGATAAATCGATAATGCATATATATGTGTACCAGGGGAAAATTACAATATCAATTAGAAAAATAACAGTAATAATAATAATAATAATAATAATAATAATAATAATGGTAATAATAATGAATAAACAATAAATGAAAGTCATTATGTCTAGTTAGTAATTGTATGTCAGTTTGTGTGTATTTGTGTGTGTGTGTGGTATAGACGAGAATACGTTGACCACCTTGTTACTTTATGACATCACCCACATCTCTTTATCACAAACAAGTTTAAAATTATGAATAATGATCAAAATGTCAATGTTTACTTCGTGTGTGTGTGTGTGGGTGTGTGTGCATAAATGAGATAAACAAACCGACAAACAAACAAACAAACGATAAACACAGACACAGAGTGTTCATGTATGTTATTGTGAATAGGTGAGCAGGTCAACCAACCTATGCAGTCTTCACATTTACATCGGTTAGTAATAGATCATCCTCGCCAGAATCATCCCTTGTTGTTGTTGCCGTTGTTGTTGGAGTTGATGATGTAACTGTTGTAGTTGAAACATTTGGCGCTAATGTAGAATTATTTTGAGGAGATGAAGATAAGACACCTGTGCCTTGATTACTATCACCTGGTTGTACTGATGGTGATAGTGATTGTGGACTGGTAGATTTTATTACATTAGGCAATAAATGACTCGATGAAGTTGAAGATGAGATATTCATTGTCTCATTGCAATTATTATTATCATTATTATTGCATAGACTTTGAGATTCAATAGCTGGTGGACTGGAACTCGAACGACCTGACGATGATGATGTTGGTGATGATTTAACATCAACCAGCTCATCATCTTCATCATCTAAACAGAAGGCAATAAACACAAGGAGCAATGAATAGTGCTATAACGAATAAAGGAGAGACTGACTGACTGACTGAGTGATTTCCAATGCAGAAATTTACACAGAAGATAGAGGAAGAATAATTACATGAAGACAAAAGATATGACGATTTAATCGACCTGGAAGGCTACACAGACAATGAATGTATCTATGCAAGTGAAAATGATTGTGAGCTGCATCACCACAAATTGTCTCCAGCGGTCAGTGGCTCTTAGATAAGCTACCGAGGACTCCAACCAGCTAAGCAGTCTACACCTCCCTACTTGGATGATTCAAGGTAACTGTCAAAGATTTCGTGCAGTTGCTTCAAAACCTCATTGATTGATTTCTCACATCCTTACCCATCCAGCACTCGACGCCCAACCTCAAAATCCCCTCACCTTGTTAGACCATTTAACACGGGCGATAGAACGCAGACACCTATGATCAAAGACAGCTAGCCAGCCTTTTTATGTCTTCCACTTTCAACGGCCATGCCTCGCTCACAGCCATAAAGGAGAACAGAGAGAACTGTTGAGCAGTACACACGCTCCTTTGGTAGACAGCCTGATATCACGTCTACACACAACAGAGATGGAGAACTTATGAACAATCATGGAACCCCATGAACGTGCACTGATGAAGAGTGCGAAACTACAACGAAACAGTTGGCGGATTTTCCAGTGGTTCTCTATCTGACTTTTCAGCTCATGATCATCGAGGAAGCTAAATACGATGTGGTATTGAAGCCCTATGTTCCACTCGGAACTTAAGAGGATAATAACAATAGTAGTAATAAAATGTCAGCACGTGAACACAGTAGTGGACTGTTCCCCAACAATTAGAGTCATAGTTAGTGTATATGCTATAAACTCATTCACAAAAATAGCTTATACGGAATTTCAAAGTGATCGCTGATACAGGTAAAACAAAAATATTAGTCCATAGGATTGAAAACAAAATCCAACCACGTAAAAGTGTCTGCTTTTCATGCACTGAAAGTTCAAATGAGGACAAATTAGTCAAATATTTATATTCAGGTTTACTAGAAATCAATTGATATGAAAGTCATTCATATTATTCATATGAATATGTGTATATTTTTGTCTAGTTCTCTGTAATATATCCATTAACGATAGAACTGTAAAACGCTGATTAACTTACTATCATAAATAATAAAAATAACTATCAGACATCTCATAAATGAAACAAATACAACGTTGTGCGTCGATAGCGCAACGCCTCACATGATCCAGAGCTCGATACTCAGTCGATAAACTCTTAAACCTCACTAAACCATTAGTAAGGCCTAGTAAAGAGGAGAGGTTGGGAGTGAGGCCAAAAACTAGTAATTGAACAAAGCAAGAACAACAATTGTACCGGGATAATATGAGCTCATCTTTCATTATTTCGAGGATTCTTCTCAACTGATTACAACATGAACGATAAAAAATATGAATTACATTAAAGATTTGAACGTACTTTTCCACGATCACAAGGAGTGATTGGTAGAAAGTAAAACTAACATTAGTCCGGAATGCTTGCCTCCGATAGCACCAACGTGCAAATTATTCTGAGGTCCGGCAATGTGTTTTTGGACACAGGGGAAGGTCACCTTTCATTGAGTGGTGTTACCTTGAAACACTGTTTTTCGGGGGCTTAGATATATGCTACAAATGTCATTATCCTAGCCACTTCCCATACCACCCGCTATTCGCTAACGCTGAGGAACTGGATAAGTATGCCAAGGTATGGCCAAGAATCGTATTCAACGGTGATGAACATGATCTAAATCCTTTCTTTCTTCCCTTTCTGGATGAACTCCTTCGTTTATTCTATCCCTACTTCACTTGTATATTCTGGTTTTACTATTTTTGTATGATGCGTTTCCTGGTGCCCATAATGTACCACGTTTGTGTTTGTGCCTCACTATCATCTAATTTTATAAAGCAAAAATTATGACACGAGAAAATTCCATAACACAACTTTAAACACTGGCGATGAATACCTTTCCCTTTTTCTTCTATAACACTGATGGATAATGTCATTAGAAAGAGGAAGAAGTAGCTTTATATAAAGATCTTGGGTGCGTTCTGTCGAAGAGCCCTAAACTAGGACGAAACAGGCGTCCATAACTCTTTTCTAGTTTCCAATGGTTCCCTCAATAATATCAATCCGTCATCAAACGTCAAATGCAAATCGAATCCCTGCAAACTAACCCTCAAAAGTTGATCTGATGCTGCGCTCTAATGACTGGCTATACGATGAAGTTAACTGTAATTCTAGTGAGAAGTCATGACCGACAGTGGGGTCCACCTAGTCGGGAGCGAAAACAAATACTCACCCCCGATGACACTGGTTGGTGGTTGCGCTAAAACCACAAATTGGTAGAAGTTGGAATTCATGGCCTGGCCGTTGGATCAAGTCCCAGTGGCTAAATGGTCTAAGAGATGGTGGGTGTGCACCGTCGAAGAGTAACAAACTGGGACGAAACAGTTAACCAGTACTCTTTAGTGGTTTTCACTGGTGATTCTCTAAATAATATCAATCTGTCATCAAACTTGAAAAGCTAATCAAATCCCCACAAACTGACTCTAAAAAAGATGGATGAATCAACTTACCAACTTGACGAAACGATGATTGTGTTGTTTTAGGATGCCTTGATTCTAGATAAGAATTATGCATACCAGTATCATCATTACAAGTATGACATTCAACTGTACTCCCTGTATTGAAGAGTAACGGAGTTCTTTCTTCACCAGCTTCATAATGTCCATTAGACTGTTGAGATTCTACAGACGCCCGTCGATTATCACGATCATAACTATTACGACGTCTGATAAAATTATACAATCGTCTTGGGATAGATGCTAATCGATCATTATCATTCACCACCTCGACATCACTTTCATCAGGCATAGCAGGTGCACCTGGTAGTTGGACTATTTGATTACATATTGGACAACGTCGACGATTGCATAACAGCCAAGGATCTATGCATTTCATATGAAAAGCTGAATAAAAAAATAAGGGGGGGGAAACAAAAACAGAAAAAGTAGGATGAAACAAAGAAATATGACTACTACCCCGCTGACCCCCCGCACATTTTTAAGAAAGTTGTCTTTTTCGATTGTTCGATTTCCATCACGAACCAACGCATCAGCTGACTTTCGATAGCGTTGACCGCAAAGTAATTTGGAAACTAATTCAACACTACCGAGTGAAGTGTCCCAAATCTTTATCAACCTCATTCAACAGTTGGCCGGCTAGATGACAATGCCACGTCTCAGGTGAGCCACAACAGAAAACTCAGCGAAGCGGCTCAAGTGAATACTGGAGTAGGCCAAGGCTACCTATTATAATCGACGATCAAAGATAGCTAGCCTTTTCATGTTTATATATATATATATATATGTATATATATACACAGAGAGAGAGAGAGATCAAAGACTGTTAGAGTATCGATTTCACGGTAGATTTCATCACGATTGATTGGTGTGATTGATTATCGTGTTTGTTTTTTCGGTAAACAAAAAGACAAAACAGCCAAAACAGCTCGAAGTATCTGCTTTTTTTACTACTAAAAGGTGAAGAACACCATTTTCTGATCAGACTATAGGCGCACAATAGTCAGACACTTTATTTACTTCTCATAAAATGTGTGTACGCGTGTGTGTGTGTGTGTGTATATAAACGCATATATACATGTATTATTACCACTATCTCTATTCATCAATTGATGAAGTAAGTCTTTAACAATATCAATCGATTCGAAAGCAAAAATAGTCTATACATGTTATCATGTCAGTGATCAATTTATTTATTAGCATCAATCAATCAACCAATGAATCAATCAATATTGTTTCTTGTCTTCGAAAATCAATTTCAACTTTGAAAATTCCAGGTTACAAATTAAAGACATTTGAATTTAATCATATACATATATATATATATATCTTAATTTTTTATTTCACTAGATATAGATCGATAAATTTCATCACCACACACTCATTATGTGATTTTAAATTAGGTAACGAAGTGAAATCGGTCGTCAGAGTACCATTTCAAAATCAGCTATTTCCACTACTTAATACCACAAATCTTTATCAACCTCATCTAACAGCTACATGGTGATGACGATGTTGCCACATGTCAAGTGATCTACAAAGGAAAAAGTTGGCGAAATCTCTAACGTGAGAACAGGAGTAAGACAAGACTATCTGCTGACTATCAACGATGATATTCCTATTAGATGGTTGGAGGCAGTCGGTAAGACGCCTTGATTTGCCTAGGTTTCGTGCTAGTTGGCACTTACTCACCAGTCAGTTGACGGCCTCCTCAACGTATGCTCGATCCATCTCCATTTTCACCCACATATTTGAGGAGCAATCGGCTGTCGCCTATTGGTTTGTTCCCAGACAGCGAACCAGAGCTTCTTGTTGCTAATTCTTTCTGGCCGGCTGGCTGGCAGGCTAGCCATTTGGTATTCACTATGGAGCCAGCCAGTGAATTGAGCAACTGTTGATGCAAATCTGAAGGGGCTTCTTGGAAATCGCTTTCGTGACGCGTACTGCCAGTTTCTGACCCATATGGAAGAACTGACTGACTGACTTCACACTTGTGTTGAAAATCCGGATCTTGTCCTTTATGCTGAGTTAGTGAAGATTTCCGAACTGGTTTAAGGTTGATGAATGTGTATCTTGCCTTTCCGATTCCGGATGGCTGACTGGCTTTGATATGTTCATCCGTTTCGACTGCTTGTGGTTGGAATCATACTTCCTTGACAACTGAACAAAGTGACCTCTGTAAAATCTCTCCCATTGATGCTGACCTGGATGCTGGTTGTTGTTGCTATCGGTGGTGGTTGGTTATGTTCATCACCTCCGTCTTCACCTTCTCTATGTTCCCCTGAAGTCCTATCTTCGCTGCCTGCCTGCTTCTTCTGCCAGTTTATTGGTTTTCGCCTGCCTGCAAGTCTTCGAGTTTGTTTGTCATTGGACACAAATCATCCGCGAAAACCCAGATCTTCTAGAATCTTCTTGTCGGTCCAACTTATTCCTGTCTTCTCACTCCGCACAGTTTGACGCACAATCCAGTCCACCAAAACTTGAAATATCATCGGTGATAACAGGCAGACAGCCTTGTCTTACTCCTGTATTCACTTTGAACGCCTCGCTGAGAAGATATATATATATCACATTCTTTTGCATGATGAAAAAAGAGGTTTAAGTGTATGTCTCAGAAAGCAAAACAGTTTCGTTATCACATTACATGATAAACACAAACACCTCTTTGTTGAGAGAATGTTCTTATTTTTATCGATCTTGATAGTATATACAACATATATATACGTATGCGAGACCAATGAAGTGAGTAGGAACTGAATTTTATCAAAGGTGTGAGCATTTCATCAGCTGAAAGATTATTGACTGCAAAACATTTCACATTCTTGGTCACAATTTTATCACAAGGCACACTGACGATATATTAGCCTACCTTATTATTTATTATTCACTACACATAGAGTCGTGATGCCTTAGCTGCATACAACCGTCAATATTTAGATTATTCGTATATATATATATATATATATATATATATACCTATGAATGAACATTAGTCTTTATTTTCATTTTATTCCTTTGCGTTCTGAGTGGAACATACGGGGCTTCAAGCTTTGAATTTTCAGAAGTAGAGGTGTTATTCCTTTGTCACGCCCAACTTTCCCTCTGTACCGGGCTTACAACCGAATAAACAGGGTTAAGGAGTGAGTCGGTCAGGAATCGAACCCCGGACCAGGTAACAGACATGGTTGGTTCTATATTGACTGCTTGACTAACTGGCTCCAACAAAGAACTTGGTACAGAAGTGCAACAATCCAATTTGCTGCACTCCAATTAGAACAAAAAGGAAACAACAGAATTTTAATGGATATCAGAGATTACAGAGAGGGTATGCATCTGCGCAGTCATTGAGGACGATTTTAAACCCATATCACTAACAACAGCCTCTAGTCATTGGTCCTCAGCATCCCGACGACTTCAATCACCCAGTTTACATTTCCCCCAACCGCCCTACGTGTCTGACTCCAAACTAACTGTCAACGATTTCATTGAATGATTCCATGCTTTGGTTTGACCACAACTAGGTTTTTTTACAACCTGATCTATCCTATGTCACCTAATACTCCCTGCCGAGGAAGGCGATGACTAAACATGCGTAGCATATATCCTAACTATCTCAATCAATGTAGCTTCACAACTTCATCGATTGACCTACCCTCCTTACCTAAAAGTAGGCTCCCAACCCCATTATTAGTCACCCTATTATACTACTTAATACGGAAGATAGGACGGACACTTTTATGATATAAGACAGCCAGTCTTATCATGTCTTCTGCTTTCAATGACTACGTCTCATAACCATAAAGGAGGACGTAGTGAACTAGTCAGCAGTACACACGCCCTTTGATCGATAGCCGGATTATATATATATACATATATATATATATATATATATATATATATATATATGCAATCAATTGCTTAATTTATACTCATGACAAAGAGATTAATCTGCTCTGCAATACTCCAATTACACAGACTAAAAAAAAGGATCTACGAATTAAATTGCCTTCCCTTCTTGAAGCCTATGCTACCTGAAACTTTCTGCAACTATTAATAGTTTAAGGGATAGAAAATATTTCGGGAAAGGGGAGACCGTAGAAGAATAACACAGAGCTAGTAAATTTTGTAATATGTAACACAAAATGACAAAGCTTGCAGCTTTAAAGCATCAGATCCCAAGACAAATACGTCTTTCAACTAATAAATCACAGCTTTGATGCATACTCCATAAAATCATACTCTGAAACACACTCATCTTACGCTAACATTAATGATCAAAGAAGGATGAGGGAATATCCAGCTCATCTACCATATTAAGTTTACAATTGCTGCTGGCTTACCCTTCCTATCTATTACTACACAAATAACTTCAACACTAAACTCTCTACATGTCTTCTATTGTTAGTGAAAATACCAGAGGGGCATAGACTATGGATAATTCCAATTCCCACAAACCGGTAACACTCCGCCGTCATAGTAAAAGACAATGACAGTAACAATAATGACTGTATTTTTCATTTCCCTTCATTTCTACAACACGTATTCTAAAACAGTAAAAGCTCAATTGTTTCTAGCGCAATATATACGAAGTAGTTTTCATTTGACATGAATAACACAGGTGAACAAAAGCAAAGTCTTTAGGGTTGATGGCGATTAGCGGTGGAATAGATTATCCGTGTTTCATCCTAACTGACACTCATCAGTTGGATGTATTTGCATTCCAAGAGAGTGACAGTGTTCCGGTGAGTGAATAGATTTACAAAGTAATAGACAACATATTTCTTCCACATTAATATATGTGTAAAACTTGGGTACTGTGGTAGTAAGTAATTCCATATTAGTTTGTTTATTAGGTATATCACACAGTGAAACAGCATTACTGTTTGTTTACTGGATGACAAAGTTTCCAACACACTTCATTATTGTTCATAATCATATCACTTATAATCACACTGTGGTGAGAGCTGTCTGCTAGCCAAAATTGGTGGACAGCAATTTACATCAATATTTACATCCCAAATCTTGGTCATAAGAAAGAAACAAGAACAAAGACTTTGCGTGGGCGGATACGATTAGCAGATATATGGTCTGACCATCAAAGAAACGGCCACAAAGAGATGACAGAATAACTTTAAGCGAGAAAAGAACCAATCAGAAGACGCTATTTCTCTGCTAATCATAACGATCAATAATGTATATAAAATATATATAAATATCTCTTGATTTCCTCAATAAACGATCTGTTGGTTGGCCCTTGCCTTCTGTCGTTACAACACGACTTCGAAAATTGAGTTTTGCAGTTTTCTTTGTTCTCTCCTATTTTTCGTAGGGGTAGTAGAATTCTACCCCACAAACTCAATTAGAAACAAACTTTGTCGGTTAAAGGA